AAGTAGGAAAATACCTTTTTCAGTTTTTCTCTCAGGCCCAGCACTCGAGTCCAGCACAGAAGCACCTTCACTGCTCCTTCGTTCCAACTTCAAGTCCAGGCTCCACCACTCTCCAGTCCACTGTCCACCACCTCCACAGACCACAAACCACACGCCACACTGCCACAGTCCACTCCACCGCCCCAGTTCCCCACCTGAATCGCCACCTCCACTGCTCCACAGACCTGAGAGCACAGACCAGAAGAGCTCACAGCCTCGCCTTCTCCCAGTTCGCCAGAAATCGCCTGATTCGCCCCGACTCCTCCTCCTCCAATTGATTTCGTTGTAGCTTGCAGCTTGTGAGTAATGGGTTGGGTTAATGGTAAGTAATTGGAATTTAATGGGCAAGGTTTTTGGGCTCATAATTGGGCCATATTTTTAAAACTAAAGGCCCAAACAACACAAACAATCAGGAGGGAAAAAAAATTTCAGTTTCAGTCGGCAGACGGCAGCTCTTCTTCTTCTTCACCTTCCCGGCGGTTGAATGGCGAGGCAGGGATTCTGGCGGATCCAGCACGGGCGGCCGCGGGGGCTGGTCAGGTGCTGGAGTCAATCATGGATTGTTCTTTGCTTAATTTTTGAATGGATGGCAAGTAATTCTATTAAAACTCTGGTCTCGAAGAATTTGTCTATTTAGATGTCTTTTGTTAAGGAATGCCCTAATCTATTAGAATGTCTGGGCTGCATTTGATTTCTGATCTGCATGGAAGAAGCATGGTATACTGGCAACAATATAATTATAGGTAAATTGTTTATATTCGAGCATAGCATTCATAATAATACATTAATTACATTCTCCATAAATTATCGACCAACGAGTTTAGAAACAAAAGTCACACTCGTTTCCCTTTTGCAGCAACTAGGTTTTATCACTGATCAACAAATCCAAGCATAGCCTTCACAATATTGAAGAAATCATGTTCATAGCCCTTTGAATGATGGTGCTGCCGTGGAATTATCTTCGTGTATAAATAGAAGGCAACACAAGCAATAGCAGGCCCGGCCCAAAACACCCAGTGGCCCTCCCAGAGGTGGCCACCTCTCACAATTGCAGCCCCAAGGCACCTAGCAGGGTTCATCCCTGCCCCGGCATAGCCCTTTTTGGCAGTGACAGAGGTGGATATATACACTAAGAGGCCTAGCACAAGTCCTATAATTGAAAAAACAAGAACAAGGCCTAATGTCTTTGCTTGGCGATGATCATATGCCATCCAAATTGAAGCAAAAAGGAAAACAAAGGTGCAGAAAATCTCGAGCCAAAAGGCTTGTGCTGTCTCAAGGCCAATGGTTATGGGTCCACTGGGTCCAGGTGCAATCACTGTTAGAGTGCAACCTCCAAGTGAAAAGGTTTGTTCAATGGTGCTGCTCACAACGGCTTTGAGGGCTAGTGCTCCAAGTATTGCACCAATGCATTGGGCTAGGATGTAAATTATAGCGCGTGACATAGAGATAAGGCCTACTAGCGCAGCCGAAAAGGAGATAACAGGGTTGATGTGGCCACCAGAAACTGGATGTACAGCAAGGAGGAGAATTGCAACGACCATGGCAACGAGGATTGAGAGTACGAGGTTTGGCATTTTGATATCAGTCTCAAAGGTTGAGATCACAATGGTGTCAATCATGAATACTAGAACAGCTGATCCAATAAGCTCTCCCACTGACGCCCTCCAAACCTTCAGTTATCAAGAAAACTTAAGTTACTTGTATTATTTACAAGTGAATGTACAGTCTTGTTTATAAGACTGTACAATATTTAAAAGGCAGAAGAAACTAAAATTTCCAGGTCCAATATTGCAAACCGAACATGCACTCAATAAATGGGATATGTACTAACGTCTAGGGAGAAAATCTCATTCAAACCAAGCATTTGACTCAAGGTAAGAGAAGTTTGCTTCTTCTTATCTAGATCAGCTGTCAATTGTTGTGTCCTGCCAAACAATATTGTAAGAATTTAAGAAATGCCCACAAATTTTTTTCAGAAAAAAGGACAAGAAATTGAAGATATTGAACTTGAAAGTTAAGAAATAAAGAACTTGCATTGGTGTAGAGGGGACAGGCTGAATTTTGCTCAAACCAGTTTGGCTTTCTTCATCGTCTACTCCATGTATATTCCAATTATTAGCAGCCATGTCTTGAAAAACAACTTTAATCAAATACCTTTTTTGCTTGATTTTTCTTGTTTTTCAAGCCTGATAATTTTGCCTTTTGTATGCTACTCTATATATGGAAGCAAGACTAAAACATCCCACCTAAATAATTAAATTATCACCTAAAAGTATGGAGTATCAGTTGATAATTTATGGCTGAAAGACTTGACCATCATCTCATAGCCTTCTAACTGCTCTTCCTTACAAGAACTTTTTCAAGTGATTTGATTGCTTATTAGTTTATATTATCCTTTACTTTTAATGCTCATATGAATGTAGTTGGAATGAAAACAAATATGAACTCTTTTCTAGTGTTGGTTTTTCTGTAAATATAGATTGATCATATTCTAGAAAATTTACGTAAAACATACACGCCCTGCCCAGCTCCCGTTCGCCCTTTTGCCTACTGTCCCTAATGAGGTAGATGTTCATCGTCCTAAGCGCATATCGTTCCTTCAGTTTCGAGTCCATAAGAAAATTGGTAATTTCTCTATTTATACAATTGATATTGCTTAGTTTGTAACCTATAAATTATATACATGACTCTTAATAAGTTAATAGTGTTATTGAAGCTCTCATTAGACAGACATTGGGCACTTTCTGCAAGCAATTTCTTTGCCAATAAATGACCATGTTGTGTGTGTGGGGTGGGGTGGGTGTTTATGGCTAGTAGTTCTTATCACCTTTGAAAAATTTAAATGGTAGGTCCAATAATTGAAGTCCTTGTGTAGCAACTGAATTTTCAGGCTTAATAAATAACCGGCAAAATCATTTTCAACTTATTTCTTTAATTTGTTTCTAGATAGGATGTTTGAGAGGCTTAATCAAATACCTCTCTGATTTGCTGCTTATTACAAGACTTTGAAATATGATTTTCATTGAAGGATTTTCTATTTTCCTTAATTTAGAAGGAACATGGTTCGGCCTCTACTTACGCGACTCGTATTTTACTATACTCTTATCTATCAACGTGTTTTTAGTTATCGCCTATCAACTCTAAAAGATGAGTTCTGTATTCTCAACTTTTTTTTCCGACTTTATTGTCCTCAATAGACTATTTATGTACATTTGACTAGTAACGAGAAGAGAAGAGAAGGGAATTAGAATGGCGTCCGATCCTGCAACATTTTCAAAATTTTCTAAATCTATATGGATACAAGATAAATATATATTTTGTGTCTCCTACAACTTTCGTCCATCAATTTTGTATCTATAGCTGATGGAAAAGTCAACTGTCATCGGATTTAGTTGGAGGTGGAGTAATAAATTGGGGGTAGTAATCAATATCTGGAAATGAATTTGAATTTTGACATGCAAATTGACTTGTATGGTTGTATAGATTCATTAATAGTTGAAAAATGAGTGTAAGAAATTCTAATGGAGACGTGTTTGGTATTTAGAGTGGTATATAATTAAATACAACTTATAACATATAATTTCTTAATTTCGTCCAATCAAGTTAAGTTTGATCTCAATGTGATGTAAATAACTCTTTTTATCTATACTTTTTTACTTATAAGTGAAATATGAAAACCATTTTGCACGGAAATAAATATTAATTCCAAATTTCACTAAAGCAAAAGATTATTTATTTTAGAGGTAAAATTCGTTTCTAAAACAAGTTGTAATTTGAATAAAGTTAAAGATTATTGAATTTAAGCTAATATTTATTTTTGCAAAAAAAAAAAAATTACTTACTAATAACTAAATTATTTAAGCTTAGCCAAACATGCAGTAATCCCACCATATTTTCGTCCAAACTCCCAGAGAAGCCCAAAAAAGAATCAATTTTTTAAAAAATTATTTAGATCCATGTGCGAAATTACACAATTAAAAGCGACAAGTCCTTTTAATTATTTTTGGATGGTTAGTCAAATGAGTCAATTTGCCCTAAGTTTGAATACTACAATCAAATATGATCACGAAGAAATCCAACTGGATAAAAACTCAGAGCACTTTGCCAATCAATAATCCACTATAAATCGAAACAAACTTACAGTACGATCCAAACATGTCTACCCCGTAGAACTTTTGACCTCAATTCCTACAGTCTCGCTTGATCCTACTGGAGATGCGCTCCTTCAAAATAAATCCAGACTCTTGGTATACACCTTAGCCCTCTAGATTGCGTGCTCTTGATGTCAGATCCCGACTTCTGGTATTTCACCTTAATCCTCCTGAATTTGTACTTTTGCAACGGCTCTCGATATCTGGTATCGATTTATCTCTGGTGACTTAAGTGGTTTGGTGTTTGATAAATAAATTTTGTGTGTTTTGATATGTGATTTTATATGAAACAATATGATTTAATCAACAAAATATATTTTGGAAGAATTTATGGATCAAATAATATGTGGTGGTTGAATATTGGAATCAATAAGTAGGATATATATAGAGAAAAGTGTTTGGGATGAAAAAGATTGAAAAACCAAGTGTTTGAAGTAAAATGGAATCTTGGATGTCGACCCGTCACTCAAGCGTCAAGTCAGAGACAAGCAAGCAGCAGATGAGCAATCATCTGTATTTTTATTATAACTTTCTCTCTCAATTTCCGATTGAGGTTATTCAAAATGAGTTGGAAAACTAACTCAAATGGATACAATTCTTCTAGAAATAGACTTGTTCAAATTCCAATGTTTTCTATGTGAAAAATGTGTTGCAAGTTGCAACTGAGGATTTGGAATATAACTTGTGCGGCTCTTTGACATTCTTTAGCTTCTAATTGCATTCCTTTGATCATATGTGATCATCTTGGACATCTTGGACTCCTTCAAGGATTATACTACCAACCCCAACTGTTTTGACTTTAATTAGGACTTAATAACTCTTATTTTGACTTTGATTACAATACAATTCGAACTCCTAATACAATTCAATTAGGACCTAATTTTGACTAAAGAAATTGTCAATTATAATTTGGACTTAACAATCGCGGTCAAACCTACTTACAAGAGTATAATGTGTGCAGTGCGTAAGATGTGTAATAATCTATACCAATACTCCAAACAAATTCTAAACAAATTAATGGAATTTTAATTTACCAATTATGAACCTAACTAGTACTTGATAGCAAAATAACATGTCCAAAAAAATAAAAAA